GCTAGTGATGATGAACATTTTTTCATGTGTCTGATAGCCATTTGTATGTCTTTATTGGAGAAATGTCTGTTCATATTTTCTGCCCATTTTTTTATATGATTGTCTGTTTTGTGTGTGTTGAGTTTGAGGAGTTCTTTATAGATCCTGGATATCAACCTTTTGTCTGTACTGTCATTTGCAAATATCTTCTCCCATTCTATGGGTTGTCTCTTGTTTTGTTGACTGTTTCCTTTACTGTGCAGAAGCTTTTGATTTTGATGAAGTCCCAAAAGTTCATTTTCGCTTTTGTTTCCTTTGCCTTTGGAGACATATCTTGAAAGAAGTTGCTGTGGCTGATATCGAAGAGGTTACTGCCTATATTCTCCTCTAGGATTCTGATGGATTCCTGTCTCACGTTGAGGTCTTTTATCCATTTTGAGTTTATCTTTATGCACAGTGTAAGAGAACGGTCGAGTTAAGTCAATGTACAGAAATCAGTGGCTTTCTTATACACTAACAATGAAAATACAGAAAGGGAAATTAGAGAATCGATTCCATTTACTATAGCACCAAGAACCATAAGATACCTGGGAATAAATCTAACCAAAGAGGTAAAGGATCTGTACTCAAGGAACTACAGAACACTCATGAAAGAAATTGAAGAAGACACAAAAAGATGGAAGACCATTCCATGCTCTTGGATCAGAAGAATAAACATTGTTAAAATGTCTCTACTGCCTAGAGCAATCTATACTTTTAATGCCATTCCGATCAAAATTCCACTGGTGTTTTTCAAAGAGCTGGAGCAAAGAATCCTAAAATTTGTATGGAATCAGAAGAGACCCCGAATCGCTAAGGAAATGTTGAAAAACAAAAACAAAACTGGAGGCATCACGTTACCAGATTTCAAGCTTTACTACAAAGCTGTGATCACCAAGACAGCATGGTACTGGCATAAAAACAGACACAAAGACCAGTGGAACAGAGTAGAGAGCCCAGATATGGACCCTCAACTCTATGGTCAAATAATCTTCGACAAAACAGGAAAAAATATACAGTGGAAAAAAGACTATCTCTTCAATAAATGGTGCTGGGAAAACTGGACAGTTATATGTAGAAGAATGAAACTTCTAACATATTTTGTAACCAGTCCCCTTTGTTTGAAATTCCTTGTGTGGGTTCTTCCCACACTAGATCCTGATTGAAACAGAAACTTAAAGAATTTGGGGGCCAGATGATAGGACCCTTTAGATGTCATTTTTTTGGTGAACTTCCCAAGAAAGGAGGTATGTTGACTGATACATAATTGAGAAGCTCTTTGGTTGGACAGAGGGGACCTAAGAGAGGTGACACTGGCTGAGCCTGGCTTTGAACACAAGTGTGTCCAAATTCATTATCACACTCTCTCCTGGAATAACAGATAAACTGGAAGCCAAAAGTGATGGGATTGAGGGCTCAAAGGAAAGGACAATGTTCCTCCAAGGCCAACAAGGGGATGGGGGTGAAAAGTATGAGAGGATGAGCAAGGAGACTTTCAGGGGTGGGAAGAGGGGCTCATGGAGGTGCTTGCCTAGAAGGTTCTGTCTTAGCCCTTGACTCCCACCCCCCCAGCTAGGCAGGTAAATATAAAGTTTCCAGTCTTTTGAAATTCACCTTAGTCAAATTAGCTTCTGCCTCAGAAAATTTTTGTGTTTAACCTCAGTGAATGAAGGTTGGAATATAATAAACATGGTCCCCCCGGCCCCCAAAGTAGTAATAACTGTTACCATTCATTGTAAACCTACAAATGCATTATGCATATGCAAATGCAAATGACATTACTAGACCAGAGGGTAGAGGATAAGTTGGGATCTGGGGCTCAGGTTTTAGGGAGATCATTGCTGACCATTTTAGTCCTCAGGCAGTTCTGGAGTCCACTGCATTTTGGAGGTACCAGGGACCTCGGTTAAGGGTACACTGCTCAGTGTCTGTGGCTTCTCAAGGGGGTAGAGGTGCTAAAAGAGTACAATAGGGGAGCTTTCAGCCTAGCCCTCTTTTCAGGGGTGGCCTGAGGTGGTTCAGGCATGGTTGGATGGCCAAGAATGCCATATGGACCCTGCCTGAAGCTCACAGCTAATTTTGCAATCACAGGGCTCCTTTAGTGGAACTGTAGAGGGCAAGCTTGCCTGCCCCAGCAGATGGTCTTCTTTTGTGAAGGGCTGGCATTGCAGCCTGAGTGACAAGGCAGGATAACTGGGTTCTGGGAAAGTCCCTCAGTGTCCCCTTGCTGAGAAACCTGGGGACTGTCATCAGCTCTATTTCCCCATGGGCGTGGTTTGGTGCAGCTCAATGCTGATGCTATGATTTTGCCATCTGAGACTCCCAAGATTTTCTGACATACAATTGCCACGCCCCACCAAGGTAGTGGCACCTCCTCCATTCTACCAAATAAATGGCAGTCTCTGTCAGAGCCCTTCACTGCTCTTGGGAGCTGTTGGAGCTGTGATTCAGTCCTCTGAACTATTGATAAAGGTCCAGCAAGTCCTCCAACTTTTTAGCCTTCCCTCTCTTCTGTGCTTTAGGGCTCAGGGAAGAGATGGGGCTATGCCAGGCTCTGTGACTTGTCCAGTGCCTGTCTAGCTGCTTCTCACTTTCTCACTTCCCAGGGAGTTGCTAGGAGCCTGACAGAGCTGCCCTGCCCCCAGGCAGAAGCAGATGTCAATGGGGGAAGGAGGAGGAGATGCATGCAGGCACCTTAAGGTCAAAAGTCATGCCTTAGAAGTTATAGGAGGATCTGGTCACTGGCTGGATCTTTGGGTGGAGGAAGTTCTGCCCGAGGTCTCCTCCCTGTTGCTACCTTGAAGTTTTGTCTCAGGAGGTGGCTCAGATTTTCTGAGTAGGGCTCTGTGTCAGGCCAGGCTTCCCAACTCCTTGTCCAGAATGAGGATCTCAGTAATTAGTGTCCTAGAAAGGTCTTGGAAATATCTCCTGATGCTCATATCTACTATCACTGTCCCCACAGGTGTTGAGACAACCCCACTATGACATGCATTCGAGGAATCCCTATTTCTGGAGAACCCTTATCAGCAGGTGATGTCGAGATGGGGCTCTGGAGGCCTGGGATACCTGCACTCACACCTGTTTCTTCTTGATCTCCTGGCTGCCCCAGCATTTTTTGCCCTTCTTTGTGTATGGCTCTTACCATTGAGTGTTCTCCAGTTTCCCGTGGACAGTGAGCTTCTGCAGGGTGGGGAGAAGTGCTTATCCTCCGCTCTAGCTCCAGACCCAGCACCAAGCCGAGCACAGAGGAAGCATCAGAGGGAGTAGCTGGGACTCAGCACACATGTCCTATGGGACATTTTACCCTCTTAGACCAGTTGCAGTCCTGGCCCACCTCACCGCAACCCACAGCTTTCCCAGAAAGAAAGGCTGAGCTGAGGGTCATGTGAATGCTGTCAGTTTTGGTGTGTAAACCCTGGACCTTCCTTCCCAAAGGGCCTAGCATCTAGCAAAACGGCCTAATTATAATGGTTCTCCATTATTCTTCTCTCTTAAACTGCAGTGAATCAACCTCATACTGGGGAGGTATCCGACTTGAATCAGCAGGTGTGGGTCCTTCAGGGTCAGACCATTGTGACAGTTCCACGGAGTAACAGTGTGAACCCAGGTGAGTGGTCATCCCACGGCTGCTGCCTTGGAGGCAAGGGAGGGGTCACAGTGCACCTGGGATGCTGGCATTGGCCTTTTGTGAAAGGGTGGCCTGACAACAGGGCCCACGTGGAAGGAGGAGAATTTCACAGCTGCCTGGGAAGCCAGGTCAGTGAGAAGTTTGTCTGGACCAGGGTATAGAAAGCAAAGAGGGTAGAACAGCCTCTTTGCAGGGGAGGAGAGTTGCTTTCAGTGACTGACGGCCTGTCCCATGGAAGAGGAGTATCTTTTCCTGCCTGACTTCAAAGTGTCCTAAAAGGATTAAATGAGTGGGTATAGGAAGGCAGATTTCAACATCACATTAGGCAAAACTTGTAATGGACGGAACTCTTCAAGGATCAGAGGGGTTGCTAGGGGTTGGAACTTCCCACCTCCAGATGTTTAAGCAGAGGTGTGACAATCTCTAGGGCAGGGTCTGCCATCTGTTTAACTCTGTGTGCTTGCTCCATTTCCGAGGGCCATGACTGGTACGTGGTATGAACGAATGAATGAATGAATGAGGTAGTTGGCCATTTGGTGGGCCTGGGGTAGCAGGGATGATACTTCTAAGTTTTCTTCCTAACACACCTGAAAGATGCTGGCCTTGTCCTGACTTTGGAGGAAACTGACACCATCTCCGCTCTTATCTTTATTAGTCACTGTCACTGTTGTCCCATGCAAGTACCCAGAATCGCTCGAGCAAGGCCGAGGGGTTCCCATTTACTTGGGAATAGAGAATCCAGAAATGTGTTTGTCTTGTGAGGACATTGAAGGGCAGCCCACATTGCAACTGAAGGTAAGTATGAAAAATAACGTTTTAAAAAAAGGGCCAATTTCTTTTAAAAAATGTTTATTTGGTAGATAATCTAATTTTAGAATTAAAAAAGAAATACTCTCCAATTCTTAAACATAGTTACTATTCCTAGATGTTTTTGAGTCCTGTGCATGCAACTGAGATATCCTGCCCCTCGCTAGTTGAGGGTGTTTGTCTTTCTTGAATTTTGAGATATTCTCAACCATTATGTCAAGTAAACTTCATTCTGCCTTATATTTCCTTTTGGAATTCCTATGCCTTAGTCATTGGAACTTCTAGATCCTCTTTAATATCTCGTCTAAATTTCCATACTTTCTATCCTTTTCATAGTTTTTGTTTTTTGCTTGTTGCATCCTGGGAGAATTTCTTGGTTCCATCTTCCAAGTCATGATTCCATTTTAAGCTCATCCTGTCTGCTAAATCATTCTCCCCTTGCCATTTTCTGAAATTTCAATCTTTACTCTTCTTCCTTAAACTTCAGTTCCATAAACTTGTTTAATTCAGTTCAATTTAGTTTAACCCCATCCAATTCAGTCCAGCAAATATGAGAGTTCTTACTGGCCTCCAGCTCTGTTGTGGCTATCTGACACACGTGGAGGCCCAGAATGGCAGAGAGCCCTGCCCTCACGGGGCATGGATTCTAGCAGGAGGAGAGAAATGGTAGACAATAAGTATCATGATGGGTAAGTCGGTGATGTCTTTAAGGGTGTTATGTCCCCTAGGAAAGCAGGAGAGAGAGGCCGGTAGTGCTAGACCCAGGTGGTGTTGGGGTGCCATAGAAAATAGTGCAGCAGGCATGCTAAGATTTTAGCAGACAATAGAAGACAACAAGAGAGTTAGCCAGCAGCATGTGCGGAGAGCAAGGATTAGTGGAGAAAACAGTGTGTCAGCAGTGAATTAGGGAGGACAAATTCGGAGAGACAAACGTAGATTATAAAGGGCCTTGCTGGCACTTGTAAGGACTTTGCCTTTCAATCTGAGTGAAATGGGGGAATTATTAGAATGTTTTTAATAGAAGAGTGACATGAGTGGACACAGGTTTTAAAATAATTATTTTGGCTGCCACTTGAAAGCAGACTGTGGTGGGGGGTAAAGGTGAAAGTCTTGTGGGGGACTTTGAGGTAATCTAGGTGAGATCTGATGAATTAGGGGATAACAATGGAGGTGGGAGGTAGGTAGCCAGTTAGATTCTGAAAATATTTTATTTAATTTGAGACAATAAGATTTACTGACAGAATGAATGTGGAGTGTGGTGAAGGAGGACTGTCAATTACATTTTCAGCTCATCTTGTCTAGTAAGCTGCCCTTCTATTGTGGTTTTGTCCTCAGATAAATTAATAATTGACCACTGCCTTCTACCATGTATGGGTTCTTAGGGACCTTGGTAACAGCAGTGTTTCTGCAGTGCTGGAGGTGGAAAGCCTGGATGGAGGGGGTCTAAGAGAGGGATAGGAAGGGAAAAATCCAGGACAGCATATATAGACAACTATTACAGGGAGGTTTCTGCAAAAGGGAGCTGGGATGGTGGCGGGCATTCAAAACAGTTATTTTTTAAGATGGTGGAATGACCGCAAATATGCTACTGGGAATTATGGACAGAAAGACAAAATGATGACTTGCTAGAGAAGCAGCCATAAACTGGGGAGGGCAGAGGGGACCTATAGCCCAGTGCTTTCCAGGCTGTAAGTTGGAAGGGAGGAGGACGATGTACTGGAGTTTGAAATGAGAAAGTGTCTTTTTATTTAATGAACACATCTCTTTTGAATTTCTCTGTGTTGAGGAATGCAATGATGAACTAGTCTAGCAGTGATGATATGCCTGAGAGTTAAATATACTAAGTTCAAATGATAATTGGAACTAATGAAGAAAATAAGATAGGGAGAGGTTTGAATGTGGCTGAATTACAGACCATTCCATGTAGTAGCTCTCTGGAGATATTTGTGCATGTGTAATTTAGTTAGAAATATTTATTTTACTTAAATACATGGTATATAAATATACAAAATATGCTTCTATATGTGATATAGAAGGCATTTTCTGATTGCTCTATTTACTTTGTTGTTGTTGTTGTTTTTAATGCAAATCCTCTAGTTTTTTAGAGACTCTTGTGTCTATTTCATGGCAGTGACCTCTGTCACACGTTGGTAGTTGGTCAAAGACGAATGCAAACTTGGGTTAGCGCAGTGGTGTCTGCAGGGCGGTGGCCCTCATTGCTGCAGCTTTGGTAGGAGAGGTCCTTGGTTTACTGCTGCAAATCTGCATGTCCTTCCTTTTCCTCCGCTCGGCCTCTTGTGTGAGGAGAGTCCCAACTCATTGTTGGAGTGTGCCACTTGTTCACTAACCTGTTCCTCATGTCTTTTCTCCTCTGTTTCTGGATCTGAGGCTGGGGACTGGGAAGGTGAGATTGTGTGCTCCCTCTGCTGCTCCCAACCCATTTTAAAAGAGGGATAAGGCTTTCTCATACTTTGGAACATTTACTGTTTGTGTACAAGTAACTTTGAATGACTCACACTGTCTCTGCTTCTTCTGCTGGGTGTTCTCTATCACATTTCAGGAGGAGAAGATCTTGCGTCTGTACAATGAAGTGGAGCCCGTGGATCCCTTCCTCTTCTACCGCTTAGAGATTCACAGTACCTCCACCTTTGAGTCTGTGGCCTTCCCTGGCTGGTTCATTGCCTCCTCTGACAGAGGCCACCCCATCTTCCTCACTTCACACCAGGGGCAAAATAATGTTAACTTCAATTTAAGTATCAATGCTTGAACTCAGGCTGGAGGGGATATCCTGGTCAGAGGTCTTTGTGTTAAATTTTGTAGTTACCAGCATGTTTTCCTCTATACCAGCTCAGTGTCATTTCACATCAATGCTCAGAGGTGGGCAGGACCCTGTTATCACCATATTTTATGAATGACTTCACAGCAACTGAGGCATAGAATGTGGGCTCAAACATAGAAGAGAGGGGTGATGAAAGGTTCTCCTTTCAGGCTGAAGCTGTTCATCCCACAGCCATCCCACAGTGTGAGTATGAGGATGTTGGGACCCAAAGACATTAGGGCATTCCCTGGGGGTGGATATGGAGAAGGTTGGAGCTCATGAATCTTACCCAGAATTGGGTAACTAGCACTGAACTGATTGTTTTTTGTTTTGTTTTGTTTACTTTCCTATTTGGATTACATTTTCCATATAGTTTGTATGTTGCCAGTATATCTCAAGTTGTATTATGTATGCTTTTAAGGGCTAAAGAACTTTTAAAGATAAAGATTCTTAATAATAGTTAAATTACTTTTTCCCAATTTTAATATGTAAACATAAAGCCAAATATAAACTTCATGTGTTTATACAATAAGAAAGCTAAAACTTAAGATATAAAATGAAATAGCAAACATAGTAAACTGAAATTAGCAAGAATAATTGAATGAGGATAGCTGGGTGGGTGAGCCTGGGACTGGGGCTTAGCTAGGGGGAGGAGAGCCCCTGTTGCTGGTGATAGACTAGGGGTAAGATGATGCATGTAAAGGAGAACTATTATTTCACTACTTTCTGTATAGCCTCACAGCACTGATTTCTTTGCCTCTTCTAGACTTTTCTTTTTAGGCATACTCACCATCCACATAATCCTTTAAAAACTGCAGGAAAGGTCCATTTCTTTGGAACAGAGAGCCTAGCTTTTCCAGCAGCGATGCTACAGATGATGAATTTTAATGAAATCTGATGAAATTAAAGCATTGATTGTGGGTATAATTGTAGAAAGATGTAGCTCAGATCTGGTTCTGTATATAATACTTTTCTTATTTTGACTCTGTTATTACAAATGCAGAAAATTCTGTTTGCTTAAGTACAATTTCCAAAATAGCACCAGTAAATTAAATTTGTTTTTTTTCCTACTTTTGGACAATCAGAACACGTACTCTTCTAGGCAGGCCAGTAAACCATCAGTAAGAACCAATTTAATGCAAGGTGTCTTGATTCTTTAAAGTTTTCTTCTTCCATTACATATAGTTTTAGCACTGTAGTTTTATAAAAAATAACATTAAAATGGGCACTGAGCTAATTAGTTCTGGGATATGAAATAGAAGAATTGGCTATTGAATATTTATGACTATGCTCCCTACTAATAAACGGTGGCAGTGTCTTATGTCTGCCAATTTACATTGTTACATTGTCGGTTGTTAAATTTGACAATTGGATCCCAAGGACACATTTGCTTGTGACATGATTATGGTCCAAGTGTTATAGCATCTCCAGACTACTACAGGCTATGTGGTAATTCCATTGTCCCATCTCTTTTCTCTACCACAAAAATTGCTTGTGCAGACACTGTGACACTTTGGATTGTCACTTGGCGTAGATCTGAGCCCAAACAAAAGCTCAAATATGAGTCCTGGTGTCATGTAACTGGCTATCCTGGCTATCAGAGATTCTGATGACATATTTAGAGAGTGATCGAGTATAAACATAGTAATCTCATAGTTTGTGGAACTGGAGAACAGACTTCCAGGGACCCCTGGCTTATCCATCACATTTGAGAAATACCACAGCATATGAAATTGTGGAAGACCCCTGTGAGTAGTGACATCCTCATTTTCAAGTTTATGGCCTGGTGAACACCTGGTTTCCACACAGAATATCAGTGCTCTGGCATCTGAGTTCTAGGAGCTCCAGGTCAACATTCCTTGAAGGATTCAGTTCTTTTGAGTCTTTAGCAATGTGGTGGTATAAAGGACTTGATACAGTGTGTTGGGGGAGGTCATTGAGAGGATATGACCACCCCTTGACCCACAACCCAGACTCTGGCAGTTGGAGGCTCCTCACCCCCTCCCCTGTCCTTTCAATGTGTGTGCTCTGCCTGCTTTCCCTGTTCCCAGAAGCTCTCCCAAGGACACACCCTGGCGATAGTGATGTGTTGTTGAGACATCTGGATGGAATATGTGGCCGAACCCAGTTAAAGCTTCAATATAAATTTTTAATATTCTAGTGGGTGAGTATGGAGATCTACTTGTCTTGCAGCTGCCCGAAGACAAGTGTCTTATATGAGCTTCCCTGTTTATTAAATTTGCCACCTACCAATCTGGGGCGAATCGTCTCTTTCCTTTTGGTCTCAATCCTGACCCCCACATATGAGGAGCGGTTTCATATTATAGCCAGGAAGCTCCTGAGGAAGTGTAATCTGACAGATTATACTGAGAGATGGGCTTTGGGATTCTGGGAAGGAATTAAGAACCTTGCCACCAAAATCGCAACTGCAGTGAAAACAGTTGAGTGGGGTGTTTTTCTCCTTTGGGGATCGTATCTTCTGACACCAGGATTGCTGAAAGTCAAAGACTGTTTCCTGAAGCTGGACCTGATGATACCATCCCTGAACTCATGAACGATCGGGCATAAGGGACTGAAGGTGCTGCCTCCGGGAACTTGGGAACAGTGGCTGTAATAAACAATTCTTCATGTCAATAAAACATGACTTTTTCTTTCCCAGGCTTTAAAAAGTTGTTTAAAAGAACATTCTTCCAGAACCATACATGTCTATGATTAAAAGTGACATTCTTCTGTCCCGATCCTCTTTCTATGAGGCTCTTTTCTGTTTTCCTCCATGTGTCTAGGGATATGTTTTACTTCTACTTCTTGAACTACCAACTTTAGACATTATCTTTTCTACCAGACAGATGTCATTTGGATCTCTACTGTACAAAAATCATATGCTCTTTATCTGTTTAATAGAAGTATTAATTATTAAGTCAAGCAAAATTATTTTTATAGAGAGTCAGATGACCTTTGGGTAGGCCTGTTAGACAATGCTCTACTATGGCATTGAAAAGGCACACCATAATCTCCTTGCTTTTTCAAGATTTGGATAACTTTTCTGAATGACATAATTTTCCTCCAGCTTTTTCTTTTTATGGGTAAGGAAAGGGGGATACGTGGAAGTGGGTGTGACATGCTGAGGACTACACTGACATTTAGTAGAAGGACTGGAAATATGATAGTCTTGATTTTTGGTGTTTCAATTTCTGTCTCCTTGTGTTGGTATGTTATGAAGCACTGTGTGAGAAATCAGCAATAATTACACAGAGCAAGACAGCTAGAGCAAAGTATGAGCCATCTCGTTCCCATCATTGGGTCTATCCTTATCTAGCAGGGTGTCAGTAGATGACCCACCTAGGGCCATCTAGACCACCTAATTATTATAATATAATGGCATCAGTGCTTTGTCTGTAGTGTCATTTGAGTATCTTCTCCCATTCTGTGGGTTGCTTCTTTGTTTTGTTGACTGTTTCATTTGCTGTGCAGAAGCTTTTGATCCTGATGAAGTCCCAAAAGTTCATGTTTTGCTTTTGTTTCTTTTGCCTTTGGAGACATATTTTGAAAGAAGCTGCTGTGGCTGATATCTAAGATCTATAAAGAACTCCTCAAATTCAACACACAAAAACAGATAATCACGTCAAAAAAATGGGCAGAAGAAAAAAAATGGGCAGAAGACATGAACAGACACTTCTCCAAAGAAGATATACAAATGGCTAACAGACACATGAAAAAGTGTTCATCATCATCATTAGCCATCAGGGAGATTCAAATCAAAACCACATTGAGATACCACCTTACACCAGTTAGAATGGCCAAAATTAACAAGACAGTAAGCAACAAGTGTTGGAGAGGATGTGGAGAAAGGGGAACCCTCTTACACTGTTGGTGGGATTGCAAGTTGGGCAGCCACTTTGGAAAACAGTATGGAGATTCCTTAAGAAATTAAAAATAGAGCTACCCCATGACCCTGGAATTGCACTACTGGGTATTTACCCCAAAGATACAGATGTAGTGAAAAGAAGGGCCATCTGTACCCCAGTGTTCATAGCAGCAATGGCCACAGTTGCCAAACTGTGGAAAGAACCAAGGTGCCCTTCAACAGACGAATGGATAAAGAAGATATGGCTCATATATACAATGGAGTATTATGCCCCCATCAGAAAGGATGAATACCCAACTTTTGTATCAACATGGACAGGACTGGAAGAGATTATGCTGTGTGAAATAAATCAAGCAGAGAGAGTCAATTGTCATATAGTTTCACTTGTGGAGCATGAGGAATAACACAGAAAGCATTGGGAGATGGAGAGGAGAAGTGAGTTGGGGGAAATTGGAGGGGGAGACAAACCATGAGAGACTGTGTACTCTGAGAAACAATCTGAGGTTTTGGAAGGGAGGGGGTGGGGGAATTAGGTGAGCCTGGTGGTGGGTATTATGGAGGGCATGTATTGCATGGAGCACTGGGTGTGATGCATAAACAATGGATTTTGGAACACTGAAAAAAATAAATGGCGTCAGTGCTGAAATATATTGTGTATCTGTATTTCTCAAACTTGAAGCAATATCAGAATCATCTGGGGTCTGAAATAAAAGCTCAGATGTTTGGGCTCACTTTGTATCTAGTGAATCAAAACCCATTTCTCTCATTGCTGCTATAAACATTGGGGTACAGATGGCCCTTTTTTTTAACTACATCTGTATCTTTGGGGTAAGTACCCAGTAGTGCAATTGCAGGGTCATAGGGGAGCTCTATTTTTAATTTCTTGAGGAATTTCCATACTGTTTTCCAAAGTGGCTGCACCAACTTGCATTCCCACCAGCAGTGTTTATAGCAGCAATGGCCACGGTCGCCAAACTGTGGAAGGAGCCAAGATGCCCTTCAACGGACGAATGGATAAGGAAGATGTGGTCCATATACACTATGGAGTATTATGCCTCCATCAGAAAGGATGAATACCCAACTTTTGTAGCAACATGGACGGGACTAGAAGAGATTATGCTGAGTGAAATAAGTCAAGCAGAGAGAGTCAATTATCATATGGTTTCACTTATTTG